TGAGAAATTTTTTCAAGTATATTATTAATCATGAAATAATGTCTGCTTTCTTAGTTCTCTGAAACTATTGAAAGTTTTTGTGCTATGTGAATAAAATAACCTATGGTCAGTTGTTTACATATCTTAAAAATATGTTGCATTTGGTAGTTACGTATTTGTTTTATGAAAAATTTTTGATTGTTATGGTAAGTAACTTTCTAAGATAAAAAATAAATTTTGTTGGCAATAATAAATGCAAGCAAGGAAAATGTGAAAAAACTCACAAATCTTCTAATATCACAAAAACGTCCAATGTCAAATAAAAAGTTCATCATAATTATAGGGGATCTTTTATGTAAGAGAATAAATTTTCGTGTCTTAGTCGGACATGGACAAAGACTTGCAACATGTTCGTCAATTAGGTTTAAAAAGTCTGTTGTGGTAAACCCGTAAATGTAATTCTTTAATGATGGAATACTTCTTAATTAAATAATGGAATAATTCTTGTATGACTGGATGTTGCAATCATCTCTGGATGGTACATGAATACCCTGTTCCATCCAGAGATGAGTGTTCTTTGGATGGTACATGTGTACCTCGTATTTCATAAATACAACCCCGTGTGTATTTCTTTTGTTAACTTTCAAGTGGGGGTTATTTGTAGGAGGAAGATAGAGAGGGAAGAAAATGAGGGGATTACACAATGTCCTAATATAAAAAAATCGTTGACATGAGAGGCTCGAGTAAAAAATAGAAAATACTACTTTAAAATTTCTTTTGAAATTGATTGTGTCATTACGGATTTATGAATGTCAGCTATCCCCCTCCTCGAATTACCAATTTTCTGCAATCACAAGCTTAAAGCTGAATGAATGGTGTTTCGAGATTCAAGTTCTAATCGTTGTACAACACCAAACACATCGAGAACAAGACGTGGAAATTTTCGAAGAAAGATGCTGTTGTCCAGCACTTGTTGAAACCAAATTGATCTTTCTTGTTTGTGCGCGTAAGCATTACGAATGAATCTTACCAGATCGATCACATTATTTGTTCTGTAGTTTTCTGTTTCCATGCAGTAATTATTTCCTGATGCAGCATTGGTATTTCTTTACTCCATGGTTTCAGTTGAAAGGATTGACCGGTTCGTGTTTTTTGTAGACACTGTTCAATTTCCGAAAGCAAAAAGTTACCCGGTTTTATAGCTTCTGGTTGATCGCCAACTGCTCTGAGAAATTCCATCTTCTTGTGGTCACTCCAGAGGAAAGGATGTTGATTGAGATACGCTGCTGGTGTTCTTCTCGATGGCTGTACATTCAACAATGCCCCAAGAAAACTTTTCGCTTCGGGATGAAGATCATTTTTAAGGTTGCCGTTCATCTCTTCGATGTTCCTTTCAACAACGTGAGGACGTTCGTCGCCTGGAGTAGCAAAGGATGTTTCCCAAATGACATCAAATAATGAAGAATCAAACCCAAAGAAAGATATCTGACTGTTTGGTGTGCTTCAATGACTTCATGCTGACTAATTCTGGTGCCATCCAGCATCGACTACCAGCTACCATTAAAACCGCATTTCCACGTGTCGAGGTCATGGTCGATAAAGCCGAGATATCTTTAGCAAGTCCAAAGTCTGCAATTTTGAAATGCAGATGATGCTCCGTTGAATACAGGATGTTTCCAGGTTTGAGATCGCGATGGATGAAACCATTGTGATGCAGGAACGCCAATCCATTGATGATCTGTTTTGTTACTTCTACACATTGACTTGGATCGTTCCTTAGAACCGAGTTGGCTTCCATGTTGCCAACGAATTCATTAAGATCACCATCCATTAAATCAAGGACAAGATACTGAAAGAATGTATCTTCCAGAGAATCGTGATACTTGATGATATTCTCACATTTGCCAGACAAAGAAAGCAATGCAGTCGTTTCGCGTTTGATTTCTTCAGGAGTAATCCTTGCTTTATCGATTCGTTTCAAAGCATATGCCCGACACTGAATGGTACCAGATATGTTGTCGACGTTTTCATCTTTGATTGCGACAAATATGTTACTGAACGCTCCGGATCCAATAGACTCTTGATGAAGATAACGATACTTGTCGACAACTGTTATCGCACCATTTCTATGAGCTAAACGATTGGCGTCTTCTAAGTGACGCTTGGGGCATGACCGCAACTTTCGCGTCATGTTTCCGGAAGAAGAAGAAAAGGGCAAGACATGGTTAATCTCATTGACTAATGACCCATTTATCAAAAGTAAGTCGGCGCACTTGTTGAAAAACTTGGGGACTTATCGTAGACTTTGCAAATCATGTTCATTGCACAACGCCCTGAACGTCAACGGCATTTACATCAACATTGTGTTGTAGGAGGATTTCAACGGCTTGGAGTACATACGCTTCCTTGACGACAGCTTGTTTGATGTCCAACAGCTGATGAAGGAATGTTCTACCTCGCTTGTTTTTCCGTCTTACGTCTTCCGGATTTGCAAGAGAAAGCATTTTATCCAACAGTGTCACCATCGACGAACGAAGTTCCGCCATTTGACAGCTTGTGTTGTTCAAATCATAAGATCCAATCCGAATGGCGATCAGGACGACATCAATGGCAGTATTACCATCTTGGTCGGCAATCCAAACACTTTTGAAGATTTTTCGTTGGGGCATGAACTTTTAGGAGATTTGGATCAAATCAATGGCTTTGGTCAGGCCAGGACTATCCACTAAGTCGTTGTATCCAACATCACCTTCTTCGGAGTTCGTTTAATACAAGCGTTCGACCAAACGCAAATAAAACGGATTTTTCAAGATGCACAATAATGGTGTTTCATCTCGATCGTTTCTACACGACAACATGCCGGCTGCGATTCAACGAGTATGTTAAAGATCGCAGGATCGCAAGGACAATGAAGAGGAACATTACCTTTATGGTTGGGAATTCTTAAACTTTGCCCATGGTCGATTTCGAGTAACTTCCTGCAAACCTCTTGTCCTTCAACAAGTTCACCCTGCAAGATGGCGGATGAGGCAAACTCGTGCATCAAGGTATTGCCTTCATTATCTTGCGCTTTTGTCAATAAGGAGACTTGAGAAGGCGGTATGTGATCAAGAATTTGAAGAACGGCTGTGTTGTCTTGTTTAAACCACTCCGTAGTTGGCAGTCTCTTATAAGGGTAAAATCATCGTAATTGCTTACTGTTTTATATCTTCCCAATAGGATATGCAAGAAAGTTTGGCCTTCGTTATTCGCGGCAAACGGGTCTACTCCAGACTGTAGTAAATACTTGAGTAGGTTGGCATTAAAACTGATTGCTGGAAGAGACGCCAACAAATGTAATGGCGTATTTCCGGTCTGTTTGTCACGACAGCTGGTCAAGTCAGAAAAGTTACGATTGTTTTCTTTATAATTTCACTACATGCCCTAAATACTGTCTCACGATATTGCGATACAGTGAGTTTTAGAAACCGATTTTTTATTAAGTATGTCTCATTCATAAGCTGCAGAACGCTGTTTGTATTAATTTCAAGTAAGACAATGGCACCGAGAACAACTTCTATGTCTGGAATAGCACGCAACAAACTAGATACCTCAGACCAACGTATAATCTTCAAAAGATGTGCGTCGTCTAAACCTGTTCTTCCTTTCAATTCTTCATAGAGTTCGCCTTCTTCTATAATTTTCTTTTCAAACACGATATTGTAGATGAGTTCGACTCTGATGTGTTTGTAGAATTGCACAACCGCCTCCACTTTATTCATTTTCAACAAAGTTCTCAGGGTATATTGCAAACGGAAACATAAACTTACGAATAGTAATCCTCCATTTGCTCATGAGCAATCAAAGTAGCAATTTTTAACGAAAGCAATTTTGTGCTACTATATTTCCTTTGTAATTCATTAGTGCATTGTAAGTGGGTGTTCACAGGAATCTAGAATGACTTTCAATCTTGATCGAAACGTGATGTCAATCCGTGTTTACATTGGAAGTCAACACACAGAATGACCTTTCGCAGAAATTTTGAAATTTGAAGATGGCAAACATAAACATTATAGCAACCCTTTTTTTCTGTTGTTCCTGCGTTTATTAATTTTTGTTTTTCTTTGCACTCATTTAAGCCCATTTAGCCGCCTTGTTTGCTTACGATCTTTAATTTCCCAGAAGACAATACCCATGGCGAATGCGTGTTTCGTCATTAATCACAATCTCATTCCAGAATGAAACTCAATTCGCGAAACGTAATGTCAATCCGTGTTTAATCACAAATATAATTACATTCTTCAATGTAAGCCTTTATTTTTTGTTAGCTATAAAGATGAATTGTAGTTCTGCAACTGTGATAAGTGATCGAGCTGTTGTGTCTATGTCTACTCGGCTGTATTCAGACGTTGTGATTTAGCTTACTCAAATAAGAGTTATATGATCTGAACTTTGCCAAAGTTGATCGCTCAGAATTGGCGTTTGAATTTAATTTTCCCACTTATTGAGCATGCAAATAAGCAAAACAACTAAAAGTATTAAGTATTTGTAGTCGACTCTTCACTTTCCGCTTCATTAGATTTTAGAAGGCTTATAGAAGATTATAGAAGATTATAGAAGATTATAGAAAACTTAATTTGGATCCGGAATGAAAATAGGAGTGAACTCGATCCGGATCGAAAATTATTCCGGACTCATGTAAACACCCCTAAATAAACAAATGTTAATTTTTAAATGCATTCCTATATACGGTATAAAGTTCACCGAACACTAAAATGTAATTCAGTGACATTCAAAACAGATGCAGATGTTGAATGCAATTTGCAACCGATAATGTTGCGAAGCAGAAGAACATTGGGCATATTCGAGCAAATTTGGTAGAGCTAGGCCGTTGAGTGCTCACCCAGCTCATTTTCTCATTGCTTTTATTTTGCATGTTGCTGCAGATTTTTCGTGTATTTGATGTACACAGTGTTTACTTTTAGCTGACGAGGTTCTCCAATACCCATTTATCCGAGTCCTTACACAACCAAACAAGCATAAGTCATTGATTTCTATAACGTTAGCCTTTTCAGTTTTACTGTAGTGGCAATTTATAGTACTTTGTGATAGAAATGTCTGGCCTTCTATAATCGAATGAAGCGGAAAGTGAAGAGTCGACTACAAATACTTAATACTTTTTAGTTGTTTTGCTTATTTGCATGCTCAATAAGTGGGAAAATTAAATTCAAACGCCAATTCTGAGCGATCGACTTTGGCAAAGTTCAGATCATATAACTCTTAGTTGAGTAAGCTAAATTACAATGTCTGAATACACCCGAGTAGACATAGTCACAACAGCTCGATCACTTATCACAGTTGCAGAACTACAATTCATCTTTATAGGTAACAAAAAATCAAGGCTTACATTGAAGAATGTAATTATATTAGTTGTGAACTTGTGCATATATATTTACATAAAATAGCATAATGTACGTCAATGTTCGGCAGTATTGCAGATGATATTTCTATTACGTCTTGCAACTAAACACAATTGTTAAAAATAGTTGTTGACAACTTGTGCATATATATTTACAAAAAATAGCATAATGTACGTCAATGTTCGGCAGTATTGCAGATGATAGTTCTATTTCGTCTTGCAACTATACACAATTGTTAAAATATTTGTTGTGAACTTGTGCATATATATTTACATAAAATAGCATAAGGTACGTCAATGTTCGGCAGTATTGCAGATGATATTTCTATTTCGTCTTGCAACTTAACACTATTGTTAAAAATATTTGTTGTGAATTTGTGCATATATATAAAATACATAAAATAGCATAAGGTACGTCAATGTTCGGCAGTATTGCAGATGATATATCTACTTCGTCTTGCAACTAAACACCATTGCTAAAATTGTTCGTAGCTGACGGTTATCCATCCATTGAAGTTATGATCGCGTTGTTTGAAAGCGTTGGTCAAAGTCTAGAGGTAAAAACACAATTTATAAGATATTTTACTTGTCAAGCTACTACTATGCAGCTCATGGTGTGACATTTTTGTGCAGGAATGGAGTGCCGGCCCAACAATTCATGAGACATTAATGCCTTTTTTAATGCCATCAAAATTGATCGGAATAAGGCTTTCGTGAACCTTTTTTCTTAATTCTTTAGCCATCATAATTAGAGATTGTGCTAATCAGATTGTGTAATTAATTCAAGTTGAAAGCAAATTATTAAAACCGATATCTTTATCTGGGAATGACAGCCAACTTTCAGACAGGGGCGGATCTAGACCGATGCAACCGATGCGAATGCATCGGTCAAAATATTTAGATATTAAAATCTGCGAGTTTGCATTTTAATGAAATAAATAGCAAATATTATTTTCGAATTATTTAAAACGCACATTTGACAGTGATATATTGTTTAGTTAACTTATAGATTTAGCAGTTTTAAGCTAAAATTTGTTCTAGAAATAACATTTGTGTTCTCCGATAATTTTGTCGTATTCCATGACACAAATAGCGAAAGAAAAGTCGATAAAATTTAGCGAAATTTTGTCGTGAATACATAATTAGTAAGTAATTTAATAGTATTCTGCCAGCACGTCACGGTAGATGGAAGAGGCATCGCTACGTCACAGTAGATTTGCGATGCATCGGTCGATGCATCGGTCCCGAGTCCTTTTCCGCGTGAAATCTACTGTGACATCAGCAAAACCATTGTTTTAGGGCCTCACGTCACGGTAGATTTTGCCGCTGAGCGATGCATTTTCATAACTTTGTGATTGTGGGCATGGCACCGATGCATTCAACTTTGAACTTCAAAGTTGAATGCATTGTTATTTGATCACTTGATATAACTCGCAATCATCGATCGAAGTCATGGCTGTCGAGAATATCAAACACGATCTGTGTACTCTGCTTCGAGAAGAGAAGTCATTTGATATTAATGGAGTGCGTCGAACCTATGAAACGAGAGCTGCTACTTTTATTTCAAAATCCTCTCCTTGGAATCCCTTTCAAAGGGTAAAAATGGGAGAGATATGTCAAGTGAAATGTTAATACCTAAGCACTTGACAATTCATTGGCAAAGTGGAGAACTAAGAGCTTTAAAGTAAGTAAATTTACCTTTATGCTTGCATGTTTTGGAGCGATTATAGAATACCCGTCCATTTTTAAAGGCACCCATACAGGCTTAAGCCTTCAACAAGGCATATTATATAAGTAGATAGTGAGTGGACGGGTATTCTATAATCTAGCACATGTTTTAAATGTAAATAGTGTACTCATTTCAGAACGACGAACAATCATCATAAAATATACGCGATGTCATATTACTTATGCAGCACTTATACTTGTATTCATATGTAATATAATACAATCGCTGGAAAATGCTTCTCGGATAGTGAAAATTCAAAAATTTTATGGGGGAGCATGCCCCCAGACCCCCCTAGCGGTGGCTCGCGCCTTCGGCGCTCGCAATGCATCGGTCAGCTAAGGAGCTGGATCGCGCCTGCTTTCAGATAGTAAGATAGTTAACAATTTACGTGAAGCAACACTTTGATCATCTTGTGATTGATGTTTTTTACCTGAAGAACAACACAACACTGAATGAAATCATCAAAGCGAATATCTCCACTGCCAGTTCTATCGAACTTTCTGATAAGTATTCCGTAAAATCTCTCCGATAGATTGTATCCTACAAGTCAGATAAATTCAAAAAATAGACCAGTCGTATACAAGATCCATTTCAATATCACTAAACACTGAATATTAAATACTCAAAAGAAAATCTTACCGAAACTTCGAAGAGCTGAAAAAATCAAAAAAATTATATTATTTTTTACCAACATAACATGCGTGGGCTTCTATCATGAACCTAACTTACTGCAAGCAAAGATTTGACATGTATATGCTTCGTAGTAAGTAAAAATACATGTATAATGAAGATTTTAAACTCTTTTCAAAACGTAAAATGTCATTGCTTAACGCAATCATGAGACAAGTTGTAAAATTGTAACTCAACTGCGATTTTATAATATGTAAAGACTGATATTTCTGTAATAAGAACTCTTCTTATTCACCATTAACAATTTATAACATGTAGAAATATATGTGTGTGTACATATGTATACACCAGACCTGCTTTTAACTCATTTCTGTCAATTGTTCCAGAGCTATCAGTGTCAAAGCTGCGAAATGATTCCTGCCAGTCACAGACATACTGCCAAAGACCAGCAAATTCATTGAAATCAATCACACCATTGCCATCTGTATCAAACATCCCTGAAAATGGAGAACTTTATAGATATCTTGTCTGGTTGGTAGTAATCGCACACAAATGTTTTAGAACTTTATTGTAGTAGGTAATGTCTAGAACAATTCATTCTCTTACAGTTCTTTTCATGACCAAGGTTTGAGAGAACCTGTGTGAAACACTACTTGACTCTTTTGAACTTAAATTTGTGGCTACACATACAATGACACAGGTATACAAATACAACAATTTAAGCATGTAAACAAGAGAAATAGAACAATAAAAAGAGAAACATTACCCATCATAAGTCGTATGGTCTCAGGATTAAAAGGAGTCCAAGTACCTTAAAACGGTTCAATGAAAACTTTACAGATCTTAAGATCATGGATGTTGATCAAAGAATGAGTGATGAATTGTTGAAAAAAGAAATGACCACCATCAAACTGCTGAACAATATAACCATGGGCTTGGGAAACTATGGGTGTCTGGTTGTCACTTTACAGTTTATGGAGTGTGAGTATACCTTACATAGGAAGGACACCCACAAATTTTGCTCTTGTTTGAAAATTTATCACATGAATGTTCAGTTTTTACAATGATGCAGTTAAAAGAGGAGAACCAAATAAAAATAATTAATATAAAGCAGTTTCATTACTAATTTATCTATTGCGTGTGATCACATAGTGAGCATGGCACACCTGCACCTTTCAAAGGATTCCACAGCCCCTGAATAAAACTCAGAGTAGATATTTGAATATAATGCAGGTTTCTCAGTGCAAATAAGGTTTCACTTGTCGTAAATGAAACCAGGAAGTAGTTACGATTGTATTTATGAAATTGTCAATCAGTTTGATGTAAAGATACCCACCATTTGCCAAGGCCCTTTGAAGTTCATCACCATTAATAGAGCCGTTTCTATCCGTGTCGATCCTACATTTTTGATAGTAGAGAATGAATTCCTTTATGTAAACCTATCTCTTTGCAACAGGCTATGAATATAAATATTCTTAGAACATTTATATTGGATATGGAACTTAAGACTTAAAAATGTGACGGACGAAAGAAATGGGACCTATGAAATCTGATAAAATTACCTTTGAAAAATGTTCCATAAAAATGATCTGCTGATTGGTGGCATTTTTGATTTAGGTCTTATAAATACGTCTTGAGCTACCGCACATACTTGGGTATAATTTCCTTGTTATTTTTTTCGAGAGGTTTCGAATACTTATTATTCATTACTTCCGCTGAAGCCAGAGGCTTTAAGTTGGCATGATAACTGATGAAACAAACGTATTTTACTTCTCGTTCGCTTCTTTTAACTTTTAGGGATAATAGAAATGAGTGATAACATAAAATATAGCGAGAAAAATGCTTTTGTCAAGAAATATTCCATATTTTATCAAGGCCAATATTGTAAACAATGATTGGATTAACCTTTGCCATGTTAATTCTAGTTATGCATTCGAAATACCAAGAACAGAAAATTCCTTGAACTATTCTTATTAAAAACCCTCATTTTGGACTCAATTTTATGCTCCAACTATCAACACTGCCTTAAAATCTCTTTTTCAAAATCGTCTTTCGCAATTACTTTTAAAGAGAAGCGAAGTATCGATCCACACGTTAGAAAATAACTTATTAATTGTGTAGGATAAGCTATATTTCCTCGGAAGCTATATATATATTTCCTTCACTACACTCAGCACTAAACTTCAAAATGGCGTACTACAGGCAGCCTGCAGGTGTGGATCAAAATTTTCTTTTGGGAGTTTTTCAGAGGTGAGGAAAAATCTGAAAGGGGAAGAAGTTACATTTCCGTTATATTTCTTTCATTTGTTGTATTTTTCAGCGTGGATCGTGACAGGAGCGGCTCAATATCCGCAGTTGAACTTCAACAAGCTTTGTCAAATGGTAAGACCGTCAGAGATAATCGCTGGTTTGCCTTTGAAATTGAATACAAGATGTATTATGAGAGGAAATAACCACAAGACATACCACTTGTAATTTCCAAATCATGCTTTTAATGAAATATCCTGTTCTTGACTTCTCATCTCAACTGTCAACAAATTTTCCATGTTACGTATAAATGCTTCATTGTCATGACCATAATTGTTTGTAAGGCAACGACACAGTTTAACGAAACTTTGTTTTCATATAGAGGAAATTTCGACCCTGTTTACGTTATAATATTATTTTTTACAATTTCTTCATATATCTCAATTGTCCAGGTTAGTAGAGTCCCGAGAAGGACTGTTGGTTTTTGTGTTGACTGACATTTCGACAACCTCTGTGGTAGTCATCTCCAGAGTCATCTTTGGTAGTTGTTTTCAAAATCAACTAACCTACTGCTAAGGTTATCGAAAAGTCAGTCAACATTAACACCAACAGTCCTTGGGACTCCACCAACCTGTACAATCAACATCTACAAACATGTAACAAATTCTTTCATTTGTTACAGTTGCTAACTTGTTATTGCAATGTAGTGTTAGCATTGATGTAGTGATAGCTATAGTACTGTTCAACACTGTACCCTGCTTGGATAGAGATAATGATGTCCAACTAAAGTTTTCAATATAAAAATACATTCAACCCAATGAAGGTCGTGTTTTGTGAAATCTCATACTTTCCACTTGGTCTAGTTTACAGACTTTGATACTCTTTGAGGTTATAAATTATTAACTAATTAATTATTGCCTGCCTAATTTTTAGGTTCATGGACTGCTTTTAACCCAGAAACAGTGAGGCTCATGATTGGTGAGTTTTTACTGCATCCCTATGAAACTTATGTTTCAGTATGGTTGTGATACTTCTTTTAGTGAGCTCCCCTCACGAATTTTGTTTTTACATTATAATATATTATGAAGTAAACACAATGAAAAGCATGCGCTGATTGGTCTAGAGCCGTGTTTGCATTAGCCTGGCAAAACACATCAGAGCTCAACTAATCAAATCAATCAAAACAATCAATCAGTCAAAGGGAATTTTCAAATCGATCCTGAATAAATTTTTGAGGAAAAATCAAAACATTTGCTTAAAATTTGTCTGTTTTGCATTGTTATTTTATAAACGAAATAAAAGATGTTTTTTGTGTTTGCACTGGGTTATGCAAATCTCGGAGACGTTTGTGAGAACCTTGCGCAGGTGCAACCCTTGACCTTTGTTCTCTGGCTTGCACTGATCTGCTCTCAAGTTCTCCCAACAGTCTCCTCGGTTTGCATAAGCCTTGCAAACAGTAAACATCTTTATTTCTTAAATGAATATTATAATGCTCAATGTCTATAATTCTTTGAGTTTAGGATGCTGCCTTAGGTTAATTTAGTGTAACTATCAAAATGTGTGGGACATGTGTGTATGTTGACCGCTGACCAGTATGTTAAAGTGCTTCTATTTGCCATATTTCACAGTGTTTCTAATTTCTGACTTGCCTCAATAGGAATGTTTGATCGAGATAACAATGGCACGATAAATTTCCAAGAATTTGGAAGTCTTTGGACTTACATATCTGATTGGCAGAAGACTTTTCGAACCTACGATCGCGACAACTCCGGCAGCATTGATAGGAATGAACTGCAAAGCGGTGAGACTTTTTGAAACAAGTGTAAACAAGTTTTTGATCCTTGAATCTTTTCTTTGTATTTTTCTTTGTTTCCTTCATCTGAAAACGATAAACTTAAATTTCCTTCATCTGAAAACGATAAACTTAAATTTCCTTCATCTGAAAACGATAAACTTAAATTTCCTTCATCTGAAAACGATAAACTTAAATTTCCTTCATCTGAAAACGATAAACTTAAATTTCCTTCATCTGAAAACGATAAACTTAAATTTCCTTCATCTGATAACGATAAACTTAAATTTCCTTCATCTGACAACGATAAACTTAAATTTCCTTCATCTGATAACGATAAACTTAAATTTCCTTCATCTGATAACGATAAACTTAAATTTCCTTCATCTGAAAACGATAAACTTAAATTTCCTTCATCTGATAACGATAAACTTAAATTTCCTTCATCTGATAACGATAAACTTAAATTTCCTTCATCTGATAACGATAAACTTAAATTTCCTTCATCTGATAACGATAAACTTAAATTTCCTTCATCTGAAAACGATAAACTTAAATTTCCTTCATCTGAAAACGATAAACTTAAATTTCCTTCATCTGATAACGATAAACTTAAATTTCCTTCATCTGATAACGATAAACTTAAATTTCCTTCATCTGAAAACGATAAACTTAAATAGATCATCCAAATAACTTGGTAAAGTTTAACATTTGACTAAAGATTTATCTTGAATGAAGAACGTTGTAAATACTTACTGACGCTATGAATAACATTGTTTTTCTTTTTTTAGCTTTGACAAGTTTTGGTAAGTAACAATGTTATCATATTTTCTTGATTACGAAAAACAATGTTTTCTTGATGTGCTGTTTTCGTTCAACACTGTCCAGTTAATGTGCAAACTTACTCCTTTAGGATATCGTCTATCTGACAGATTTTACAGTATTTTGTTGAGAAAGTTTGATCGTAGCGGTCAAGGCGTCATCAAATTCGACGATTTTATTCAGTGTTGTGTTGTTATCCAGGTTAGTCAAACTTGCTCTTGTTGAGTACTTGTTGAACCCATAGTTTGAAACTCTCAAGCTATTTGCATACATTAAAAGCGTCAGAGATAAAGCTGCTATTATTTGGTTGTGTATAAAGCAAAAATACACAAAGTTTTGCAAAATAACCCTTCAATTACATACGGAGCTAGCCAGTACTGTACACTTCGGCTATCAAGTGAATTTGCAACCAAGCATACGTATATCATGTTTTAGCACTGATACTTTGATCTCCTCGTAATGGATCATCGGGGATAAAGAAAATCCAGGGCTGACTTATACTTTTGTGTCATTCATACATCACTTACTTGTTTGATTTTACGTTTCAAATCCTAGTAAATGCCTGTGAAAATTTTACTCTGGAAGTGAAAGTATTCATGCAACAAGTCAGGTGTAGTTTCTGAGTATATTTCAAATTTTAACTCCCAACCGTCAATTGACGTCATTGACGGCCAGTTAAGTCGCCAAATAAGGCAAATACATGCGAATCCGCCCCATTTGAAGAAATGCATAGTGTTGTTGGATTCCGGATTCCCTACAGGACCATACGCGTGGATTTCAGATTTCATACTCGTCGATTCCGGATTCGATACTCGTGGATTTCGGATTCGAATGAATTTCCTTGAGCTCTGGATTCCGGATTATCTTATACAAGGCAATCATACGATTTATATGTACTTTTTTTAGAACCTCACGCAAGCGTTTCAGAACTATGACACGAACAGAAATGGATGGATTCAAATCAACTACGAACAATTCTTGAGTCTCGTGTTCACGATGAGGGTATAATCAAGTTAACGATATCCTTTATTAGATTTTCCAACATAATCATCGATCTTAATAATTTATCAATTTTTGTCCGTCTTCACGTGACGTCACCAATTTTCGTGGATTTTCAATAGCTTTTTTTCCAACGATTGTTTCCAACGTGATTTCACACGTTATAGCTACATAGAAAAGTTTCATTCTGCATGGGGAATCCAGCTTTGTATACTTAAATTAATCTACCGCTACAATTAACGAAGTGCAAACGTCAATGTTAACAATTTTTTTTGATCACGCGAGCAAAAAATATAAAATGGACGACAAAGTATTTGCATTCCAAATTATATCCGTTTATAATTGTTGTATTTCAATGCTTCTAATGATTTGCACTAGAAATTTCATGACAGTTGGCGTGGTCACCCGGCAAGTTTGGCCGTTGTCCACTCACTGTATAAAGTTAACTATAGAAATAAGTAATGCCGACGATATCAAATTTACATGGCATGATCAAACTTGTTTAAGAGTACCGAGTATACATTAAAATAACAGTAACGGCAACAGTAACAATCAATTACGTTTTAAAAATGGTGCGAAAAATGTATTATCAAGCTGCTTTTTCAAGGGGCAAATTTAAAATGGCTATTTATGTATTCAACTAATAACGGGACGTTATAATCTGAAAAAAGCTGAACTAATATAATTTTCAACGACTTCACACGTATAGCGGTATACAATAACCAGCATTACATGAAGCATAATAATTATAGAAGAGGAAACCACTGACCACATTTTGTTCGAAGGCGCAGTGCGCAGAAGGCGCCAAGTTTGTTTCGGTTTCAGCCAGCGGTCTCTTTTTGCAAATAATTGTTTGTATTTATGCAATATTTTAATGTTTTGCGGATTATTGAATATAAGAGTAGCTGATGGTACATGTGAAACGTTTCTATGTGAATATTGGTAGAGAGTATTGAATTTTCAACAATACGTTGGCGTTGCTTG